TCTAGTGAATTCAATGAGTGTAGGTGGTGAACCTAAAATTCTCTTAAATATTCTACCACCGAGCCTAAGCTTAGAAAGATTCCAGCTTAAACTCACGTATTGAAGTTAATTACGCAATTATATTTTAAATTAGAATGATTAGACTCTCACTTTAATGGGCCAAATTATCTTAGCATTGCAAGTGAGCATATAACAGAAAAGAAAATACTGAGGTTTGGATTCCCTTAAGTTTGTCTACATGTGACCCCCAAATCCTCCTGGAGTTCGAAGACACGCACACACTAAGAAAAACCATGATCCCAGTTAACTGGGGCTGCCTACCTGCCAGGGGGCAGTTATAGGCCGGTTGGCTGAGGTTGCTGAGGGTAGGAAATTTCTCCTGGGATGTTACTGGGTTCTTGGTGCCTCCGAGGGCCTCCCTGAACCCTGTTTCTAGGTTCTCTGTCATGGGCTTAAAAGAAAAACAGCCCACAAGGGCTTGTCTCGCCAGCTCTTTAGCCCGATCTCTGCACCCTGGCAATGCACACACCCCTTCATTCATCTGGCTATGATTACACAAGGTGGATTGCAAGCTTACATTTGCATGTTTCGCTTCTGACCACGTGTATACATATTTATCCTTTAAGTCAGGCGTTTTGAAGTAGATGGAATCTTCCTTTCTTTTGCACTCTTAGGATATAACAACTCTTAAAGACATTTACTTAAAATGCTGTTGGGCTGGATTTTTTCTTCTGCTGGGTCCTGGTGAGATTACACTTTTCCTTCCGAGGAGAGCGGGGATCCGGGAGGGAGAAGGGGAGGGAACGGGGAGGACAGGGGGAAGAATTTCAAGTCACCAGGGCTCAGACCGGCTTGCTGGCCCTCACATGGCTTCTTCTCCTTCTCCTCTCTCTGCTGAGTCCGGCTGGAGCTGCTTATGCCCTTGCTCATGTCCTGCTCCACCCTTGCTCCTTCGGAGGAGTTGTCCCTGCTGAACCCAGCCCCCCACCAGCAGGCTCACACGATGGGGCCCTGCGCCCCGGTCTTGGAATGTGCAAGGCAGCTCCACAAACATCAGCGAGCGGCTCATTCCATGACAACCTGTAGACCCACCACACTGAAGGCATGCAGGCAGGCTCTCCCTGGACGCCTCATCTCTCTCGCCTCGCCACGGCAGCTTCTATTTTGACCACGCACTCACATGGATCCTTCTCATTACTCACTCCTACAGTTTCCGGCACGACGGGCCCAGGCAGGGAGACAGCTCTGTGGAAGTTAAGAAAACAGATCCAATGGCCCCCTGGCTTTAACCCAAAGAAGAGCAGCATGTTGATGGAGTGCTTAGTACGTGCTAAGTGTTTCATACGCACTGGTTCATTTCATCTCTACAAGAGCCCGATGATGATGTGGGTTCATTAGTCTTTTTTTTATGGAGGAGGCAGCTGAAGCACAGAGAAGTTAAGTGATGTGTCCCAAATCACACAGCCGGTGAATAGCAACCAGATTTGGAACGCGGGTTCTAATTTTAGACACTGTACATATAGCTCCTAAACTAGAGGCAGCCCAGTCAGGGGAGGAGGGATCAGGCTTAGCCCAAGACCAAGTTGCTGGGGGGAGAGGCTCAGCTAGACTCTGGGCCAGATGGGGGGCTCCAGTTGTCCCCAGGATGCAAGCATGGCAGAAGAGGAAGGTAAGAAAGGAGTCCGCTGCAGATGGTCCAGGGAGGAACCGGAGGGATAAGCAGAGTCTCCGAGCAGCGGGGAGAGCTGACTGCCTGCCGGGCACTGTGCCAGGCCCCCTTCATCCTGAAACCCCTCAGACCTCAGACTCCACGCCATCTTTCAGAGAAGTAAACCTCTCTCCGCTTTCGTACTCTTTGAAACCCCCCAAAAGGAGATATTGCAATTAACACTGAATAAAAGCACAGGGGGAAGCGGTGCTTTGTTGATGAACTACACAGGCCCCCACCCCATCCTTGGGTGCCCATCCAGGTACCCCTGCCCCAGCCAGACTGTCTCATGTGATCTTCCCCACAAGGATGCTGGAGATCCGCCCACTCCGGAGTGGGGACATTGATATGTCAGTGATGGAGCTGGCTTCCCATGAAGTCTGTGATCCCAAATCACAGGGTCTCTAACCATTACCCTATAGTGCCTGTTGGGTCGATATCAGATCTTCAGCTGAGAGTCTACTCAGGTGATCAAGAAGCCATATCCCTTACTTGGTGTCGCAAACTTGGTTTAAATCTGCCATTTTCCAGGGCCTATGTATGGGGGGAAAGACCGGAGTGGGGAAAATGGAGACTGAGAGAGGATAAGGGACTTACCCAAGGCCACACAGCACAAGCATGGCGGCCGCAAGACTAGAACTCAAGTCCTATTTGCCCCTGCCTCATTCCTGCCCCTCCACCCTAGTGTACACCCTACACCTCTGAGACCCACCCCCCACCAGCCGCCACCCCACCGGGGCCTGCCGAACAAGCGCGTGCAGCCTGGATTTAGATGAGTGTGTTTCGCTTTGCCTGGCAGGCTGCTCAGTGATTGTTCTAAACCTGTGTGTGGGCTTCTCCACTCCCCCAGTCTTCTATTTCTTTCTATGCCCCCAAACAGTCCCCCATCCCCCACCCTCCCCCCTCCAGCACCCAGCACAGCAAGCCACACTCAGCAGGTGTTAACAAACACTTGCCGAGTGAGTAAGGCATCGGACCATCTGCAGGGGCCAGAGTGGGTGTCAGACTCCTCCAGCCCACACCAGCACCAGCTCCGGGGCCCCGTACGGGTGTCCCCTGCAGGTGAGCCTGCTGGCAGCCAAGCTGCCACTGGGGATGGAGGCGACAGTGCGGGACTTCTGGGAGAAAGGGGTTTAGGAGGCCCTTGCTGTGTCTAGAAAGTCAGAGGCAGGCTCTAGACCAGGAAAGCCCACACCCCTGGCCTGCAGTAGGCTCTCCCGTGCCTTCCTTGGGCCCTGCCTGCAAGCCTCAGAAGAATGGGAGCCTGGACGCCTCCCCAGTGGGCAGCCTCCTAAGGCACGGCGCCCAGGGGAAGGGAGTTGACACACAGCTCAAATGGCCCCATTTTGAAATTAGAAACTGCGGGGATGTGTGAGCAGTGTAGGCAGCTGGGGAGAAGAGAAGGCTCAGGCTCAGGCTTGCTCATCGGGACAAACTGACTCCCCGGCGTCTTTTAGGAAGTGGGGCATTGAGGCGCAAACAGTACTAGGATTCCTGATACAGAGGGCTTCCCCACCTCTGTTGCCCCTTGACCCCGAGCTTGTCCAACTTGAATGCACAGGATTCACCCGGTGAGCTTGCTACCATGCGGGTTCCCGGGCCCCCAGCCCCCCAGACTCAAATGCAGTAGGTCTCACTCTTGCAAGGTCAAGAGAATGGCATGTTTCATGAGCCTGCCCCACCCCCAGCCCCCAGTGATTCTGATGCAGGTGGTCTTTGAACCACACTTTGGAAGCTCCTCCTTGGGTCTTCTCCCCAAGGACTGGGAGCACCAGGGAGGATCTGGAAGAGGTTCTGGTTGCAAAGCTGGAGGCCTCGTCTCTCCCAAGGCCCCTCAGACCCAGGCCATCTGGCTCCAGAGTGTCTCTGAAGGCTCATGCAGGCTGCTGGAATTGACCCACCCAGAGCCAGGAGCGGGTCCTCTGAGGGGCCCCACAGTCTGCCCTGAGATGCCCCAGACCCCAGGCTGGAACCAGAGCTCCCGAGAAGGGGTGGTGTAAGGGCCCAGGAGAGCATGGGGAGTAGTCCGGCAACAGAGATTCTAGACGCAATGGGCCCCAAGGAGTGGGGAGACTGTGCACGAGAGGAGGGGGTAGTGGCCATCCCCCACCCCCAGGACTAACTAACTCCCCTGGGCCAGCCCTGGGGGTGACAGTCACACTCAGTGGAGCTGGGAGGGCTGGGAGATCAGCTAGCCCCTTCACAGAGCAGGACTAAGGAGTTTCCATCTTGAGCACATACAGGATTCTTCCTGCAAGCACATGCCCGTAACTTGCTGTGATGTAATAAGCTCTGGGAACAGTGAACTCAGGGGACAGTGAACTCCAGCTCTGCTAAATCACTGAGACCCTGGGAAGGACTTCCCGTCTCCCACACGTGCTGTCGCCATCTCCAGTGGGGAGAGCCGGTTAAATCAGGAAAAGCAACAGTCGATGGACAATGGCTTCCTCGAGCACTGAATGCAGAAACACCGGGGTGGGGGGTCAGGGCTAGGGGGCCCCATGTCTGGTACGAGCTCACTGAACCCCCACAACAGCACCCTGGTAAGGGTTCATGCTCTCTCCACAGCGGAGAAAGCTTAGGGACCTTGTACCAGGATTCAGTTAGCATGGGGCTGAGCCGGGGTTTGAACCTATATAGTCTGGCTCCGGAGCCTGGGCCCTTCCCCACCACATCACGCAGCCTCAAAACTGACAGCACGGAAGCTCCCCAGGAGCTAATGGCCTCCGGGCACAGCAGGCTGGGACGAGCGCGCCACACATCTGTCTCGGCTGCCACATTTCCGCTCTATGGTTCCATCAGCCACAAACCAGCTCACACAGAGGAGAAGGGAACGGAGCAAGGCCACACCGCAGGTCACGGAAGATTGGAGCCCAGAGCCGCCACGAGGTCCTCCCATTTGAGTTCACTGCACCATTTCATCCCTGGTCTAGCCTGTACTGGGGCCAAAGGGTGCCACTTACTATTGCTTGCCAACTGCGTACCCAGTCCTGCCTCTGGGCCTTTGAACATGCTGATCTCTTCCTCAGAAACATCTTTCCTTCTTCAGAGCACAGCTCGAATGTTACCTTCTCCGGGAAGCTCTTTCAGATTCTCCTGCAAGCGCACAGAGCCTGCCCTTCCTCTGCAGCCCAGGCCGGGACCTGAGTGGCATCCCCACTCCCGTATCCCCCCAGGGGCTGCAGCTCCCAGCTCCCAGCTCTGCGGATGCCGCACGGAGCCAGGTGCATCGTAGGTATGCAGGAAGAGGCAAGGGCCCTGAGGGGGGAACTGAAAGCCTCCAGGATTCTAGTTCATGTACTACCATCACATTTATTCTATCAAGCTTTTTTTCCTGAAATTAAAAAAAAAAAAAAAGAATTCTAGGCCTGCCTGTGAATAAGGATTTAAAATCATATCAGTCACAGAAGCCTGATATTTTCTCTCCCAGCGTCTGGTCTGTTGACCAGCTGCCCTTGTCAACCACATTGGGCTTCTGGTCCACACTGGCTGTCAAATTTGCAAGTCTGTCCAGCCTGACTGACCCCCCTGAGCCTCCAGCCGCCTGGGCCCTGCTGGGGAGTCAGGGCAGGGGGAGACCACGACAGATGTTCCTCTGCCTTCCAGGAGCCTCCAGGCTAATAGCTAGGCTGGACACACACAAACACATCCACGCCCGTGCACCCACGGCTCCAGAGGCAGGGATTCGTGGCCCAAGGCCTGCTGAGGAGAGGAAGCACCAGGAGCCTTCCCCATTTGCTCAGCCGTGGTTTCTTCTCCCTCTTCTTAGTTAGCACAGTCCTCTTCTCCGCAGGGCCTGCTGGGAGGGTGGACAGCAAGAGTGAGCCAGGGGACAGCAAAGATGGGGGTTCCAGCACGGGGACGAGGGGCAGGGAGCCCCGCGCGGAGGCCCACGGTGGCCTCAGCACATGTGGCTGCCCAGGAAAGCCATCCCAGGCCAGACGATTGTCCTGGGGCTCAGCCGGGATGGCTCCTCCTCTGGGAAACCTCTCGGACCTCCCAACTGTAACAGGGGTCCCTCCTTTGTGCTCCCACACACCCCCAGGTCCCTCTGTCGCGGTGCTGATCGTGCACGCGCTTCTGTGACTGTTTACCGTCTGTCTTCCCCCAGGAGGACGGGCATTCCTGGGAGGAGAGGGCCTGTCAGGTCCCGAGCAACCAGCGCGGAGGCCAGCGGAGTCCACATGGGCTCACCAGCGAGTGAGGGATGAACGAATGGAGTTGACGCTGGGGATGGGACTTGCAGGGCCTGCACACAGGTCTCTGTCGGGAACACCTGCGCATTCTTGCTCTCTGCACTTGGCATTTGACCACCACAAGTTCTGTATTTTCTTCTCCCTCCTACTTCATCGTCTAAACCCTGATGCAACACTACACCTCCACACACTCACACATAGAGACACACACCTCCACACGAACCATAGACACGTGGACGGTTATATGCACACGACTTACCCACAAACTCTAGACAAATAACACACACAATAGTCCAGTGATGCTCGTACACCACACACAGTAATGCGTGTGTCCTCACGAGCAAGCCGCAGCCGCGCTCTGACCCACCCGCACACACAGTCCCACAAATGACACCCACGTACACAAATGCAGACGTACACGCACGGACAAGCAGGCAGATACACCCACCACCTCAAGGACAAACTCTGAACTATGCGTTCGTCTGCTTTTCCATCTAGGGATTTCTTCCTTTGTCTTGCCTTTCCCTTCGATCTTGCTTCACAATGAACAAAGCACTTGCTTTTGTTCACCTACTTGCCAACCCATACGGGAAGATGAGCAGGGCTCAGACCTGCCCTTGGGAGGTTCTCAGTCTTGTGGAGGAAACAGACACAGGAAATGCCAGCCATGAGGCTGGTGGGACCACTGGATTCAAGAACTATTTCTTGAGTACTTACTGGGGGCTGGGCTTGTGCTGGGCTTTGGGAATCCAGAGGTAAATAAGGTCCAGTCTCCCTGGCCTCAAGGAAGCTCTACATGCGGGGGAAAGGGAGAGAGACAGGCGAAGATAGAATATCTTCCTATGATGTACACAGATCAGTGGCAGCCCGGAGAAGGGAGTGATTAACTCTGCCTAGAGATAATCCGGGAGGACTTCACAGAGAAGGTGGTATCGGGTTTTGTAGGATGAAGAGCAGTTCACGGTGAAGACCTGAGCCTGGAACAGGTTGGCATTTGATGCAGAACAAAGGCATCGACCTCAGAGAGGTAGACCAACAGTTCTGTGGGTCCGGATTGTAATGACGATGTGGGTTGGGGGTGGGGTGGGAGCGTGGGAGAGGTGCCAGGGGGAAGTTGAGGCTTGAGAAGATACGCAGGGGCAGAGAACAACGTCTCCATTTTAGAGTCGAGGAAACAGGCTCAGGTTGGTAAACGCGGCTGTCTTTGACCTCGGTTGGACTTTCCAGTTCTTGGGACCAGCTACAAACCCCACTGCCCATTCTCTCCAAATGAGACAAGGCTGCTCGCTAGTAGCTGAACACATTAAAAGCTCAGAGCTGGTGGGAGGCATTATTATTGGTTGTGATGATTATTCTCTGAAGTCCAGCTTGGCAGATAATCAGCAGCTCAGCAGGCCCCAGGCTGGGGTGATTTGGGCCTTGGAGGCGGAGCGGCCCACCCCCGGCCCCGACCCCCTGCCCAGCAGCTGGTTGGCGGCTGTGGGTCTCGGTCAGCTGAGTCCCTGAACCAGAGCGCGTCCCCCTGGGGCCGCCTCATAGTCCCCCCGCTGGTTCTTACCCTCTGTTCGGCCCACCTCCCCCTCTCACCGACAATTAGTCTGCGTCAGGCAATTAGCGGTTCCTTGTTCTTCCTGGGTTTCCACTTCCCTCGGTGCCGGAGCTGGTTCTGGAAGGGGCTGAGTCATTTTCCTGAAAGGAATGTTACCTGAGGAAGTGGCCCGGTCCCCCTTCTCCCACAGCTGTGTGATCTCGGGCCAACTACTTCACCCCTCTGAGACTCAGTTTCCTCGCCTTGAAATGAGGGTGTTAACCCAACTGGATAATGACTACAAGGGGCTCACACTTGGACAAGTCTCTTGGCCACCCTGGGCCTCAGTTTCCTCCTTGTGAAATGTGGGGAAGGGGTGAGGTCAGAACCTAGTGATGACAGAGGGACCAATCTGGCCGGCCATTTCTTTTGACTAACATCTTATTTTCAAAAAACTTGCAGTTGGGCAGACAGTCTCTCCTTTGCTGTCTTGCCCCCCCACCCATGCAGTGTATTCAATAAACATCTTTAAAAAAATTGCAATTTGAAGGTGCACCCCAGTTTGCCCAGGTCCCACCATTTTCTACAGTTTCACCCCAGCTATCTCCTATGGCCCCTGAGGGCCCCTGAGGGCCCCTGAGTTTGAGACCCCTGGACGAGCTGGTCTCAGAGTTTGCACAGGGCTCTTCTCTAGGCTTCTGTGGCCATGGGTTCTGGGGTGGCCAGCCCAGTGCAGGACTACTCACCCATGGGCCTCCCTCCCCTGATCCAGGCCCTCGGACCTTTGCCAAAGCCTCCTCACGCTCTCCCAGCCCCAGGGCCCCCTGCTCCTGCCCCGGCTTATATCAGCGGGGTTTCTAGGAGAAAACTCAGATTTGATCATGCTATTCTTTTGCTGGACACCATCACCCATTGGCCTCAACTCCTAGTCAGGCATTCAAGGTCCCCACAATCCAGCCCCTGCCTACCTGCCCAGCCTCATCTCCCTCTTTCCCCCACCCTCACCCTCCATTTCCTGAATAGCTCTCCTCCCCATGTCCCTGCATTTTGCATAGGCTGATCCCTCTGCCTGGAACTTCTTCCCTGCCTTCTCCACTCTGGGAAGCCTGCAAGGCTTTCTCCTGTGTTGCCTCCTCTGAGAAGCTGTCCCTGATTGCCCCAGGTGGAGATCGGGACTCCCTCTGCTGGACTCCTCCCACCTACCTTGGCTACAGCAAATGCCAGGGTATAGTGGGTGTGGCTGGGTCAGCTTCTTCTCCTTTCAGTGTATTCCGTAGACTTTAAACATGAACCCCCTGATGTCAGCCGGGCCTTGAGCAGGAGGGCAGCAATGTGCCTCCATCACCTCGTATCTGCAGAGCCCAGAGAGGAGGCGGGGCACGGTTAGAAAGTGGTCAGTAAATGTTTGTTTCCGGAATCAACAACGAAGAAGGGCAGGAAGTCTGGCCCACCTCCACCCTAACTCATTTAAAATGCAAGAGGAAAGAGAGCCGGCCACCGTGAAGCCCCACACCTCCCACTAATGACTCCCTCCCTCCGCACCTCTGTAAGACATCACCTGTGACAAAGCACCGTGACATCCTTACCATCAGTCTCCTGCAGATGGGACACACTGTGCTGTGTCTTCCCCACCCCGCACTCCGGCCCAGAGAAGCGTGATGCTTGCTGGGGGCCTCAATGCCGGGAGCCCCCACCTCCCTGGAGACCCTGCGCTCCTTCACCCTGGGGGCTGCCTCTTTTTCCTGTCCCTCAAATAGGGACACAGATCCATCTGTTTGCTTCTCTGTGTCCCTTTGTCTTTCTGTGTTTCCCTCATTCTTACCTCCTGTCTTTCTTTCTGTCTTGTTTCTCCAGCCCCCCACTCGTCTTTTGTGTCGCCTGCTGAGCCCTGCCTCTGTCTGTCTCTGTCCCTGTCTCTCTGTCTCTGTCTCCACCCCCTTTTCCCTCTCCTGGGCTGTCTCTGTCCGCCTTTCTCTCCATAATTAGCCTCACTTCTAGCTTTTACTCTCAGGTCTCCTGGGTGGTGGGGGGCGGGCAGTGGGACAAGGAGGGAAATATCTTTCCAGCATGCAGAAAATGGGCCAATTAAAGCCACAAGGCTGCTCAAGCAGCTGAACAAGGAGGAAGCAGAAATAGCCCCAGGCGGGTCTAGCTGGAAAGATAAACAGAGAAACTGGGAGAAAGGGCAAAATGGATGCAGAGTCCGAAGTCACGGGTGCTCCTCATCCAGGCCCCCCAGCCGCCACCCCCACCCCAACCCCCCCGAGGTGGCTCCTTCCTACCCAGACCTAAGGTTTGGATTCTGGCTCCTGCTTGCCAGCCTCACCCTCTATCCCTGCTGGACCTGGAGGCAACCTCAGAGCCGGCCAGACCTCCCAGGGCCTCCCCCAACTGCACCTGTTACCCCTCACACCTTTGGGCTGGGTTGTGGTGGCAATTGTCTCTCCTCACCACATGGCCTCCTCCAGCCTCTGGGGACGCAGGGAACTGGGAGATGGGCGGGGGGGGAAGGCACCCCACCCCCACCAGTCAAAGACCTTCTATCTCCTGCCCCTGAAGCCCCAGGAATTTGGGACCTGCTCCACACCAGGCACACCAGAGAACAGCGAGTCCCACAAACATTCTCTTCTTAGGAGCTCGAGGTCCAGTGGGGAAGCCAGATAAACAGGCAACAACTGGTGTGGTCCTGTGGGAGGGGGAAAGGGTCCCCAAGGAATCCGTATCTGTCCCCAGCCTGCAGAATCTGCAGAGGGGCCTGCACCGATTGGGGCTGTGGGAGCTGAAGGCTATCTCAAGCAGAGGAAAATGTAGGGGGCCATTTAAGGAAATGAAAGCAGCCCAGGAAGCCTAGGAGAGGTGTGGGGAGTAAAGATGTGTGTGTGTGTGTGTTTGTGTGTGTATGGGGCGGGGGTGCTTGTAGTTCAGGACAAGGAGCTTAGAATGTATGCTCAGGGCACAAGGGAGCCCTGGAAGGCTATAGGCAAGGGAGGGGCGTCATGATATGCTCCTTTATGGAGAGTCTGCCGCCTACAGGGGAGGGGGAGGACAGACAAGGCTGGAGGTAGAGCAGGCCAAGTGCTACCACAGACCATCAGGGGAGAGGCAATAGGCCCTAAAGTGGCAACATAGGTGGGTCAGTATACTTGTAAGATGAATTCGTTACTCAATCTGTTGTTTTTCAGCTGGCCACCAAGGCAGGGGCTGTGATCTGGCCCAAGCCCCTTCCTAAACCCTCTGTGTCTCCTCTTCCCACTGCTTTTCCCCCAGACTGCTGGATTCCCTGGACCTGCCTGGACTTATTCCACCTCTGTGTCTTTGCTCCTTTGATTTCTTCCTTCTAGAATGTTCTCCCCTCTTTCTCACATATCTAAATCCTACCCATCCATCAAGACCTAGTTCAAATGTCCCCTCCTCCGTGCAACCTTCCTCCTTCTCCTTCCTCCAGGTGCTCAGGAAACCCTATCTGGGCCTCTCCTATGGCACAGGACACTTAGTGCCTTTTGTATCTTTTTTTATACCCACTCTAGGATCCCCTATACATTCAGAGCATCTTCAGGGCTAAAATCTGGGTCTGATTCAATAGTCCTCAGGATAAGGCCTGACCCAGAAAGAGGTCTCCATGATGGCTTGGTGAAGGAAGGAAGGGAGGGAGGGAGAGAGGAGGAAGGGGGAAAGGAAGAAGAGAGGAAGGTGGGGCGGGGAGTGAGAGTCTATATTTATGAGCTCACTGTGCATGTGTGAGACTTGAATCACTTTAGCTGGATAATCCATTTCTCTGGTATTCCCTGCCTAGGTGTGTCTGCAATGTGATTCCAATTTTCTGAGTCTGATCTATATTCTGGCATTAACATCAGAGAGCCTGGTTTTCTTCTTTCCCTAAGACTTACTATAACTTCAACCTCGTTTCTGCCTAGCCATAGAAATATGTGGGTGGATGGATGGATGGATGGATGGATGGATGGATGGAGGGATGGATGGAGAGATAGAGAGATGGGTAGATAATTGAGTGGATGGATGGAGTAAATGACCAAATTAAAAACTAAGAGAAAGCCATCCAAGAACTATTAATGATAAATTGTAAGAGATGTGATAGCAGCATTTGGTGGAGATCAATCAAATTCTGGCCATGTATCCATTCATTCACCTGGCACTGAGTACCCACCATGTGTCAAACACCATACTAGACCCTAGGGATACAGAAGTGAGTAAAATACATGGTTCTTGCCCTCACAGAACTTACAGTCTAGTGAAGGAGACACACAAGAAACTGAGGAATTGCCAAGATAATAGAGCAGGAGAAGGATTATGATAGAGAACACATGGGACCATGTGGGAAGCTGTCTGAGCAAAGAGAAGCAGCGTACATCACACACTCATTCAGGAGTGTCAGGGAAGGCTTCCTGGAAGAAGTGACCTCTACGCTGTACAAGGAGAGACTGATGAGTAGCGAGTCGGGAGGATAAGCAAGCCCGGCAGAGGGAACAGCATGTGCAAAGCACCAGGAGGGAGAGAGCACAGGGCAGATTTTATTTAGGAAACTAGAGAAGTTCAATCAACAGGAGCACAGAGTGCTGGGGTCAGCAGATGAGCAAAGAAGGGTAATGGAAGCCAGAACTTACAGGGCTTGTGGGCTCCCAAGGAGCTCAGGCTCTGTTCTAAGAGCATGGGGTTGGGGTGGAATCCCTTGAAAGGTTCAAGCCAGGAGAAATCTGACCACAAACACAGGAAGACTATTCATTGCATTATGTCTTTCAAAATTCCTTCTGTTAATGCAGAAAGATTATTTTCTTCTAATGTTTTCCCATAAATAGTGTTGTTGCCAAATCTATAAATCATCTGGGAAATTAAAAAGCAGGAAATCTTGTACTGCTTTTCTTGGCGATGTAAAACCAAGGAAATGAAAATTAACCTCACACTCTCAAATTTAAGTTTCTTATTGACCAAGCTAACATTGTTCTATTTCAGTTTTACCATTTCAAATGGTTAAAAAGGTTAAAAGTTAAAAGTTTAAAAGCCCACAAGGTTAAAAGTTCAGAAATCAAAACTCAGGCCTGTTAAAATTACACGAAGCTTCACTGAAGAAAAAGAACCAGAAAGCCAAAGCCCATTCTTTCGGTGAAATGGTACATTTTCCGGCTTGGATACATTTCAGAAATCATTCTCCAGCATTCACAATGGCTGGGATTAACCTATCTCTGGGAGTATAACGTTTACATGCTAAATAAATGACCGCTTCCAATAGCTTAGGTAAATCCAATTTTTTAAAAGTACCGTTGGATTTTCTGATGTAGCCGCAAAAAAGTGAATAGAAAACAGAACTCGCTGTTTAAAGACAATAGATGCCTGTCCGAAGGCAACCTACACCGATCTATCCTGCAATCAGCGTACCTCATTGATTCAGCAGGACAATGGGGTGACTAATAAGCAGGGGCGTGGAGAGGTGGCGCTTTCTTTAGGCAGCCGTGGGTAGGGAAAGCCACGTTCGGTGGGTGGCTTGCAGACCTGAAGAATGAGGTCTGACATTAGAAGAACCAAACAACCGGTGGTCCTAGGCAGGAGGCAGATCAGGTGCCAAGCTCAGCGACAGGAAAATACTTAAAGGGAGATGAAAAGTGACAAGCAGGTTGGAATCCCCACGACGTCACTAACAGGCTGGGTGAATGCCAGCTCCCCGAGTGCTCCCCACTGCTCCCCCCCCCCCGAGGGCTCATTGTCTCCTGTCTGTGTTTTGCCTCTTTCTTCTTAAAGTCGGGGGAGAGGTGGTCCTAAGGCTCTTGGGGACCTGCCGTCTTGGTCTACCTGTTCTCCCCTAGCTTCTGTCCAGACTGCCCTCTGGCTGCTGACACCCTGGCCGTCCCAGACCTGGCTTCTGTTTTCCTTTTTATGTTAACTTGTTAATTTGTACTTTTTATTGTGAAACATACGTACATTAAAATAATGTATAAAACATATGCACATTTTAAAGAAGAAAATGTTTATCAAAAAATAAACAAATGAAGGCGGGATACTACCAGTCCTCTTAAGAAGGCACATCGCCAGAGCCTCCCCTGTGCGCCCAGCCCTGTGCACGCTCCCCACCCCTTCCCAAACCCCAGTTAGCCACTGGGCCCCATGCGGTGCTGCCGAGGCTGGCCCACCCAACAGCCAGGGAAGACGCCTGCAGTAAGAAAATGTGAGGTTTCTTAAGCTTGTAGCTACATGGGAGCACGCAGCCCAGGGAAACTCAGGGGTGCCTCTGTGAGGGGGATCGGAAAAAGCACCCCCCAGGGTCTGGGCTTGTGCCAGATGAATCCGAGGAAGGCTGGAGAAGCGAGCCCGGGTCTGGACTGAGTGCTGCCCGGAGGCTGACCCAGGAGGCCTGAGGGTGACAGCGGGGCTGGCCTTGTCACTTCAAGGAGCTGTAGGCAGGCAGAAAGGCAGTGAAAGGAGGGAACCCTGTCATTATGGGGTCGCGGGGCAGCCTGGTCTCCGTCTGACTCCAAGCACCAGCACGGTGTCTGGTGTTCTAGAAGCACCATCACTTTGTCAGCAGCAGACTGTCATTACCCCGTGCTGTCTCTCACTCTCTGTGACAGCCGAGGGGCTGCGACCCGCAGGGGCTCAGCAGTGAGGCTCCGACCCACCTTGTTCTGGCTCTCGCCTTTACGGTGGGGCTTCTGACAACCCTGCAGCTGTGAGCCTCAGTTTCCCCACCTATAACGGGGGGATAACAGTCACCACCAGCCTTAGTGATCGGTGGTGAGGTCCGTAAATTTAAGTGCCGCCCAGGTGATAAGCATGGAGTGGGAGCTCAGTGAACAGAGGTCCTTGTCCCCATCTGGGGGAAGGCTGGAGCCCCGGGCCACCAGAGTCACTTTCCACCCAGGCTGCTCCTGGATGTGCTCTGTCCCAGCCCCGCCCCACACAGCGGG